TCTATCTATCTATCTATCTATCTATCTATCTATCTATCTATCTATCTATCTATCTATCTATCTATCTATCTATCTATCTATCATCTGTCTGACTGACTGACTGTCTGTCTGTCTGTCTATCTATCTATCTATCTATCTATCTAACTATATCTAACTAATTTGAACAATGAACTGTTGAATTATAGGCATCTTCAGAAACCTGTTTATGAGGTTGATTTCAGAGCTGGAGTAAGAATAGTATTCACTCTACATATATACAGCTCATTAATACCTATGGGAGACCAAGAGTTTATTAGCATAATTAATTGAATCAGCAGGGGCTCCATGTAATCTCTCTTTTTTTATTCCAGGGCTGAGAGAACATAATTACATTGACGAGATTGATGTATTTACATTGTTCTCCAGTCTCATTAACGGTAATGTATGCGACCCAGCGCTCAAACCATTGTGAAATATCTCTGAAGTCAAGGCCCTTTTGTCATAAAGGAAGTATGTATTATGGATTTATGAGAGCCTTAGGAGAGCAGCCGTATTGAAGTGACAAAACACACAAGTATGGATGACATAGTTACTCACAACTCATGTACTATAACAAAACCATATTACAGTTTCCTGTAGCAGACATATTCCTCGTCCTCACACTCTTCCGATCCTCACAAAACCAGCACAGTTCATCTGATCTCATTAGTATGTAATGGCAGTACAGAGCGGTTAAAGATGTCTGCAGGCATGATGCTGAGCTTTTGTCTCCATCTGTCTCGTGTGTGTTTAGCGCTCTTACATGAGCATGTCGCGCGGCGGACATCATGAACTAATGAGCTAAAAACTGGTGGGCCGCCACACTTTGAACTTCCTGTATTCCACCACGCATTTCACTTTAAGCTTACAAAATATGCTTGATATTAATTTGTGAAGGTGCAAGCGTGCTAAAACGATACATTGGACACTATTAGTACTCTTACTCTTGATAGATTTCCAACTGAATGCAAGTGAAAATCTTGAGCTTGAGTTATATATAAAAAAGACACTCGGCTATCAGAAGGGATTTGGTTTTTATTTATGAGAGGCTCATGTAAACAAACAAACCAATGAACAAACAGATATATACGCACATGCACACGAAACGATCTGTCTCGGCTTAGTGTTTGTATGCATCTGTATCCTCGATGGCTGATGTATCATCTCTCTTCATTCATACTTCACCATAATCAGCCCGGTGATCCATTTTATGTGGAATGGAGTTTTGTGTGGGCTGTGCTGGTTTGATAAAAGGGGACACACATAACTCTGGGCAATTTGCCCAGACATCAAAATCAATATTTGAAGGCCATTTGCTATGGACTTGAAAATAAAGAATGTCAAGGCCTCCCAAAGCTGCAATAAGGTTTCAAGTGATTTTCCTTCCACCAAGTTCTTCTCAAGTTCAAAAGCTTTTTTTTTTTTGTTTGGTTAAAAAAATGCAGGTGTTCCTGATGACTCCTGCACTCATTAACACAACATAAGATGAACTGATTATCATATTTACACATGGGGAGTCAAGATCCCCTCAAGACCAAACTAATCCATACTGAATCTGTAGGAGAAAAAAATAACCAGAAACATGCAGTGTTTCTGCCTGAGAAATTGTCAAACAAAACAAAACAAGTGAAAAATAAAAAATAAAATAAACGCAACAAGAATTCATAAGAAATTTAAAAACGTAATTTGCTTCTTTCTTTTATACACTGCACTGTGAAACCTTGTTTTTATTTACAAATTCTATATTATAGTTGATTGAGCTATATAATGAACAAGAACCGCCAGCCATTTTTATGTGTTTTAGTACAAGAAAAATTTTAAACAGCAAATTGAAAGAACTTTTTACTTACATCAGTAAATGTTATGATAGCATTGACAGCTTAGTCCAAAAAAGCTATGGACAGAATAATTATTCTAAACTTCAGTGGGATATCAAACTACACTGAAAAAAACGAGAAACAGTTTTCACCCAGAAATTTCTAGTAAAATTTTACAAACAATTACGAAGAAACAGCATGTAACCCATTGAATCAAATGTATTTTTTTTAAGTAGAAAAGCTGATATAGAATCTTCAAAAAAAAAAAAAAAAAAATTATAGTGTACTTGTTGGTACACACACACACACACACAAATTCAAAACACAAATATACTTGCTTACTAGTGCATAAAAACTACTTGGACATAATATAATTTTTTATTTTAATAATTGTTTTGTACACTGTAATTGACTATTTTTTTCTAACGGAAGATTTACGAAAATATATATGCAATTTAAAAAATATATATACAGGGAAAATCTGTTAATTTCAATTAAAAAATATATTAATAT